AATTTTATTTAATATTATATTATTATTATTATTTTTGATCAGGTAAATGGTTAGGAAGTTACTAGAGTGAGTTTGTTAGCAGCTGGAATTTTTTCAGGAAAGTGAACGTTCCACCCCTCATTTGAGGCGCGCGACCATTAGGTCGCAAGTTGGTGGAGTTCATGGCGGTGGCAGAGCTCAAAGCCCTGATCTCCGTCTCACCCAAGTTTTAAAGCTTGGGGGCCAACCAATTGGGCTACAGGCCTGGTTGGCTTATTTAATATTATATAAGAGTGTAAATTTATAATTATAATATTATAAATATAATATTGCTGTATATCCTGTATACTCTCTCTCCTGGTATTAATAAATGCAGCTAACTTTTTTTGTCCAGCAAAATACAGCTAATTGAAGACAATTTATTTCACTGTTAAAAATAATACGGCTAATTAATTACCCACCATGTTTTAAGAAACCTTAATTAGCTATCAATCACCGTAGTAATATCGGCCAACCACGGATGCCCATTGACATCTATTTTCAAAAAATGTTTTTTTTTTTTAATTTTATGCCCGTGTAATAAATATATTTTTGATATATAATTAATTTATATAAAAATAATAAAAATTAATTTAAATTTAATTAATTATTTAATTAAAATTATTTTACGTGATAATAATATTACAATAATGATAATTTTTATTAATTTTTTATAAATTAATTATAAAAAATATATTTATTATATTTTTAAAATACAAATTAAATAAAACCTTTAAAAAAAAATCCATTGACTTAACTCTCTAGGTTTAAAAACCGTTTCTAACCTAAATTAATTCCTTTAGGTGATGCATTTCACGTGCCGTGGCCCAATGGTTACTTACTGACCCAAAGGGCAGCTCGTGATTTGCACTCTCATATCTCGGGTTTAATACTCCCCACTAACACCTCTAACATATTAACCTCTAATTATTACCCTTATAAAAAAAAAATTTCCCTTTAGGTGTTGGTACTTTTACAACCATTAATTCCTACTATTATTTTTTCAGCTCAGTACTTCTTTTTACCCTGCTCTGGTTATAATTATTATTAAATTTATTACGGGTATTAAAATTGTTAAATTTTTATTTTAATTTAATTTCTAAAAATAATTAATAATTAATAAAAAAATTTACATGTAATATATTAAAATTAATTTTTAAATATTATAATTAATTATTTAAAAAAACTAAAAACTAATAAAATTATAGTTAAAATTAATAATTTTAATAAAATTTTTTCGTGACAATAACCTCAGCCTCTTGTGAGGGGTGAGGTTAGAGTAATGATCTACGGGACGATTTTGAGGAGCGAAACGGAGGACGACAAGTGAAGCAGCCCCAACAGCAATTACCAATTTAACTCTACTTCCACTTGTCGTCTCGCAAAATCGTCCCTCAAAATTGTCCCACAAATCATTACTCGTGAGGTTATGGCCACACTGATTTTGTAAGCCTCATAAGTTTTGTTATCCTTTTTTCGTTCAGTAGTCTTGATTTGAGTTTTAAAATTTTTAAATATAAATTTTAAATAAAAATTTAATATATTATATAAATAATAATTAAAAAAATTTAATTAAATAAAAATACTTAATAAAAATTTTATATAGAAAAAAAACTTTTCAATTATTGTTTATATAAATTATTAAATTTTCATCTAAAATATATATTAAAAAATAAAAAAATAAACTATAACTACTAAAAATAAACAAAAGGGGTAATGTTGTCTTCAACAACATTGAAAACTGATAGAAACAGCTAATAACTATAATTATAATAAATTAATAAAATCAGATAAACTAAATGCATATTATTTAACCTTAACAAAATTTAGTGTGGCAATAACCATGCACTCTAGTGAGTAAGTTCAAGTTTTGGGGTAGTTATTTCCCTTACTTTGAGGAAAATGATTAATACATTTTTAATTTAATACATTCACTAATATTTACTGGTTTAGTCACATTAAATTTTACATATTAAAGTTTTTTGGTTTTTAATTTAAATTTAAAAATAATAATTTTTTAATAAATATATTATTAAGTGTACCAAACCAAAATATATAACAATCATTTTCCTACTCAAAATAACAATGTCATTTGCCTCTTTCAAAACAATATATAATAACAATTCCCAGCTAGTACTTATATTTGTATCGTAGCTATATGAATTATTTCTAATTTCGAGCCATCTGCAGTGAGGAATTTAAAAATTGGATAAAATTAAAATTAGCCTTGAGTCCTTGACCTTCCCACCATATCTACGTTAGCTAGAAAATTTAAGTTTTAATTGTTAGTAGTGATAATTACTAATTAATTTTTTTATATCATTCATAGTTACCTTTTTATTTTACGTGATTAGAGATATTTTAGTAAACCCAATAACTTTAAAAATATTACTACCTGACCTTCTTAACCAATACTATAAGTCATATTGTAAGTGTACCATCAATCGACGAGTTGAGTTTCAACTCCTCCTGCTTCAAAGTTGTAATTAATTCAAAAAAAAAAAAAAACTTTAAAAATGTTAATTTGAAATTCAAGATCAATTGTTATTGAAAAAACAAATTTATTAATTTATGAATAATTATTGATAAATCCTTTGATTTAATACATTTTATAAGATAATTATTAAAAAATTATTATTTTTAAATTTAAATTAAAAATTAAAAACTATAAATTTTAATAAATAAACTGATAAGTATTATAGGATATATATTAAACTAAAAAGTATACTAATTATTTTCATTAATTTATACCC